AAAATGCACAAAAAGCCTAGTCTTATTATCTCTATATCGAGTTGGATCCACCTGAAATTAAAAAAATAGATATTCGATTCATTTTAATCTCATTTCTGGGCTACAAACAAAAATGGTAGCGTACCTGGAGATGGATGTCACATGCAACTTGTAAGAAATGTTTCTCCTCGTTATATGTTGGCCCTTTTGTATTAAATTTAGGGAAAATAGTGTATTATAACAAACTATTAATTCAAAATAAATGATATAACTACAGTTTTATTTCATTTCAATTCGCAGTAAACACATTGTCAATCTCGCCTCTCTCCCTGAATCTCGCCTGTCACTCTCAATTCTCTCACACTTTTATACAAACACAAATGCATAAATTATGTTTGTGTTTGTATAAAACGAGAGAGATTGTATATACAAATACAAGTACATATCTCTCTGTCTTATACACTTATATTTATACTAATATAAATCCTCCCTGCTCAATTCTCTTTTGCCTTTCTCTCTCACTTTATACAAACCCAAATTATACAAATACAATGTACAACTTGTGTTTGTATAAAGAGAGAAAGAAATTTGATATATAAATACAAATGTTTTAAATCGATTCAATTGTATACAAATTCAAATTTTATGCAGATATACAAACACAATCATTGATACATATACATAGTAGTTACATATATACAATTGTCTAACCGATATACATATACAATTCACCTCTCTCCACTCTCTGCCCTATCTCGCTCACCTCTCCCAATCTCGCTCACCACTCTCCTCGCTTTAACATGTAGCTACGAATCGTAATTAGCAAACTATAACTATGGAGCATAATTAGTCTCCAAAATTACCTTATTGAGCTTTGGAGCACAATTTTAATTTGGTAAAATTATGTCGTTATTGGGTAGTTTGATTAGTGACTTTAATTTACACTAATTACGTTAATGCAACAACAATAATTTACACTAGACCATATAAGGAAGTTGGAGAAATCATATTCCTCCTTATACCAACTAATATTATTACCCTTATTTGTATATACACTTTTCTCTCGTTTTATACAAACACAAACGCATTTTATACATTTGTATATCGAAAATGAGTAATTGTATACCAAACCAGATGACAAAAAAATGGGATGTTTGCTGTGAATTACAAATTCTTGTTTTCTCATGTAATGCAGTTTGTAAGTTGGTCACCAATCCAACACAGAAGTAGTCCAATGGACTCATAGGATTTCACATGTATGCAAAAGAAAGAAGAAAAATTATTTCAGGCAAACTTACAATCTATCCCTTAAAAGTTTATAATTACAGAAATCCCTCCAACTGATACAATAATATAAGCGCTGATACATTAATCTGATGCGCGAGATACATTAATCGTTAAGTAAGATACATTACATTTTATATATGATACACTAATCTGATGTACATTGTATACATGATACACTAATCTGATGCGCGAGATACAATAATATAAGCGCTGATACATTAATCTGATGCGCGAGATACATTTAATCTGATGCGCTGATACATTAATCTGATGCGCGAAAATGAGGGATTTTGGAGATTTGTAAAACTTATAGGGGATAATGGTAATAAGTAAATTAAAAGGTGGGATTTCTGTAATTTTTTCAAAATTATTTCGAGTCCACAAATACTTAAATGATAAAGGTGTGATTAATATAGACATAGATGGAATGGCAATATATGTTGACGATCCTTATTTAAATTGAGTTTTAGATTACTCACATATAGTACCGGAAAAGTTCATATGTTATGTACTTTATGGTGATATGGAAAACAATCATTGTTGACTCTCAATTTTGACACTCTACGATTTCGATTAATTATTGAGCCTTTTTAATTTCAAACAATTTAAAATAATTAGCTTTATAATTCAAAAATATTTTCAAATAGTTTCTAGACAATTTTGTCATTTTTCTATGCATATATTTCTATATGTTCATAATATATAGATTTATATAATTATCACTTCTTTTGAATATTTTAGAAAATCATTTTCAAGTTAAATAGTAGAATATTCTTATTGCTCTATTGATTATTTTTTGAAAAAATTGTATGAAATAGCAAACTATTAATACAAATTAAATGTTATAGCCGTAGTTTCTTTTATTTGTAATTCGCAGCAAACATTCCATGTTTTTTGCCATCCCATTTGTAAACCAAAATATACAAATAGACCAATTCGGTATATATATATGTGTTGTATAAAAATTAATTGCAGGACCCATTTGTATACTGAAAGATACATATAGACCCATTCGGTATACATATGTGTTGTATATATGTAATAATTTTGCTTATATACAATTACTATGTTTTAGTTTGTACACCGAAATATACTAATACAATTTTTTTATTTATATGTATATCGAAATATACAGATTAATAGCCATAGCAAACATAAAATTTGCTATGGAACGCAATTATACAAACTATAGCTATAGCATACAAATATGATTTTTATATTTGCTAAACCTAAAATTTACTTTTTTTTGAGAAAATTACATTTGATTGCTACATTTGATTGGGCTTTGTGAGATTTGTTTCATTTTCTTAAGGGTTTTGTTTTTGTATTTACTCAAAGAATTGATGGAATTATGTTTGGAAATATTTCATGATATAAACATAGTAAATAGTATACGTTATTTTCTACATTTAATTAATAAATTGATGAGATTAGGTTTGAAATATTTCATGATATAAGTAGTATATCCATGGCGGAGTTCCAGGGACACGCCGAAAAATGACACTATAGTAATAAGTTAAATTTTACTTTATATTGATATATTTAATATTTTAGATACCTAAAAATATATTGAAGAGTCGTAGCTCAGTGGATGGCCAACAAAAACTCTTTCCCACTCAAATTCAATCCCCCATAGCTACATTTTTTTTTGGCTTTAATTTGGACATTCTTTATAAATTTTCTAACTACGTCACTGAGTATATCGCTACAATTTTCGGAGAAGAGGCCATAGAGAACAAACTAATCATTTTCCTCATTTAATAATGTAATTATCTAGTCATATTCAGATTTTTAAGAATAAGTTAAATATGAAACTATAATAAAAGGGGAAAAAATAAATGCAATCCTCAGTATTATGTTGACTCTATTGATATTCTATGGTCAACTTATCCTTTTGGATTTTACTTGGAATGTGAAACTAACATTTATTAAAATAAAAATAATAACTCTTTTAGATTTTATTAGACAATGGTTCAAAGATTACATTAATATCATGTGCAAATAGTCAATTCAAAATTTTACTATATAACATCTTTCTCATACTAGGCAAATGATATATATAGATGTTCAAAAAACATAATTAGCACTGATACAACAACTAAATCAAGTAAGTTAATTACCTAGTGCTTACATGTTACGTTAGCTAATTGAAATTAGCAATATCTTTTTTTTTTTTTTAAAATTATGTTGTGTAAATTACTTTTGTTGCTCAAGTATTGTTGTATTTACATGTTTCCTAACATCCATGCCTATAAAAATAAATGAATATATTCAGGTAATGTTGATGCATCAAAGAATTATTCGACAAATTTTATTGATATTATATCTTCTTCTCAATTATGGCGGGGTTCAAGGAAAAACAACGTTATCTAAAATTGAGGAATTAGAGTTGGAGGAACAACTTAAACTTCTCAACAAGCCATCAATCAAAACAGTTAAGGTATATATTTCACGCTAAAAAAATCACTACATTTAAAAATCTGGTGAGTAATTATTGTATTCATGTGTTAATATTAATTGTAACAAAGATAAGTATCTTTCAATCCCATAGTTTTGGTCCATGAAGATTTTAAAAATTATCTATCTATCTTTTGTTTATTGACTTTATTCAAATTTTTAAAATTGATGTGGTAATTAAAAGTTTTGAACCTTCTACAAATGTGTAATCAATTATTTGCTTTGAATAATTAAGAAAGGAATACCAATAAGTTTGATAAAAGTCTATTATAACCTTTGAAACTAAAATATCAGTAAACATTAAGTTATGATTCTCAAAGTAAATATGGAGTTATGTAGAATTGAAAATTTAAAATGGTGTTTACAATCTATAGACTTTTTGTTTTCTATTTTTTTTTAAAACATTTTGTGCATAATAGAATTTGATCATCTGTTATTAAAGAATGGTGTTTACAAATTATTTTATTTTGGTTCTCAGAGTAAGTCTGGAGATACATATAATTGTGTGGATTTCTACAAGCAACCAACATTTGATCATCCGTTATTAAAGAATCACAATTTTCATCCAGAGGCATGTGTCTACTCCACTTTACTTTTCAACTTTATAATAATATCATTATTTTTAATATACAAGTTATGTTTTGAATGGACAGATGAAACCTACTCTCGTTAGGTCAAAACAGAATTCAAGTGCCTCTGCATCTGATTGGTCGTCGAGGATATGGTTCGAAGATGGTGGTTGTCCTTTTGGAACGGTTCCCATTAAAAAAATTACTAAAGAAGATCTTATTAGACAAAGAAATATGCCACCACCAGAAAATCATGTAACATCTGATCTTGAACTGACTACGATAAAAAATGTTACATTAATTCACTATATTGCCTTAAATAGTATAATCATGCTTTCAATTGTAATCGAATATGTTAAGCACCGCTACATACATATTCGTCCTTCATATCAACAAGTCTCATGTGTTTTATTGTTTATACACAGATTAACGATGTATCTTCACAAGTATACAAGGTATGTATATTATTTTCTATTGTTTGAATAACACATGTTAAATTGATCATAATAATTTTTTTAGGTATTGCACATCAAAATGTGGTTCTTTGACCTCAAGTACATTATATAAAAAAAATTAAATGAATATATATATATTCAGATCAAATATTAATATATCTAGTCACTATTTAACAAATATTTTTATTTTCATAACTAGCTTGCAATAGTTAGAATTCCAAAAAATCCACATAACAAATTTGGGGGAGCTGGAATGGCCAATAGTTTATGGAATCCCCTTGTTGAAGGTCAGCAACACAGTGCATGTCGATTGAAAATTCAGAAAGGATCAGACGTCTTACAAGTTGGTTGGAGAGTAAGTTCAATACCGTTTTTATTGATAATTAAATTATTTTAAGTTTTTTTTTTAAAAAAAAAAAAGATAGACAGGGGAAAGAAAGATGGAAGAGGTGTATGTGTACGAGAGGGAGAGATCAGAAAATTAAATATTACACCTCTAAGAAGCAAGTTATAATAAATATATATTGATGAAATCGTGACACACAAAGTTATGTTATTTATTTTGTTCATTAAGTCAAATACATATTTCTTGTTTCAGGTAGATCCAACTCTATATAGTGATAATAAGACTAGGCTTTTTGTGCATTTTCAGGTATGGTGCCTTAGTTATTTTTGTTTTGTGTTCATAAAATTAACATTTTCCCCCTTTAGCTATTTACTTTACATTTAATAGGCTGGTAATAAACAATGTTTCAATGTACTATGCTCGGGATTTGTATTAGTAAGCCATGATACACCTATTGATATGGTTTTTGAAGATATTTCACAACCTGGACAAGGGGGTTCATGGGAAGCCACAATGTACATCGAACGGGTACATTTATTTTTTTATATAATTTTTTAAAAAAGTTTTGAAAGCTGTAAATACTAATGCATACTTTTTGCTTCTGGATCAAAGGATAATGTCAGTGGAAACTGGTGGTTTTTATTTGAGGAAAGTTATAAGCAAATTGGTTTTTGGCCTCAACAAATCTTCACTGACTTAAGAGGCTTTGCTGATAACATTGAGTGGGGAGGCGTTGCATATAGTCCACCGGGTGTCCCTAAACCTCCAATGGGCTCAGGTATATTTCCTGTTGGAAATACTGATGATGCTTATTGTAGGAGGCTTAGTGTTTTAAATGATGACGGTGCTACAATAGATGTAGATAGAACAACAATATATGTTGATGATCCTAATTTGTATCGAGTTTTGGATTATCCACATTTCAAACCTGGAAAGTTCCAACATGTTGCATTGTATGGGGGGCCGGGAGAAAGTCATAAACTCTAAATGTATGATATTTACTCATAAATGTCAAAAAATATGAAGTTAGTTTCGAAGCAAATATCACCTATTATGATTGTTATGATGCATTTTTAACTTGGTTAAATATTTCATAACTATTTATTTAAAAAAGAGAATCGTCATCTAATTTTAAATGAAATTGTGAAACCATTTTGAAAATGGGTATTTAAAATTTTGATTTTGTAAACTAGAGAAAAGGGGTAAGTGCTCCGATATTTCGGCAAGGAAGATATTAGACATCTCGAGAAATTCATAAGATTAATCGATAGATTTCATCTTTTTGTGGTTAAAAAAGTATAATTTAATTGGAAAGTAGAGTTCCAAATAAAAATAGAGCCCATAAAGTTCTAAAATTTCTTGGAACATAGTGAATTTGATTTAACAATATTAGGCTCGAAATAGACTGAAACTTGGGACAACAATATGAAGAAAAAAAAAGTTTTAGAAATGTTTGGGCCTTGGCTCTTTTTAAAATTAAATCTAGTAATTACCTGATTTGAACCTAAGAGCAAGATAGGAGGGAGGCTAGCGATAGAGTCTGTGTATGTCAGATCAATGTAAATCACACTAGATACATGTATTAAGATACAAAATATGTTCAGAAATATAAATACATAAGAAGAGAGACAAACGAGATAGAAAGGAGTGAGAGAGAGAGTTAATATATCTAAGATACATGCAAATTCATTTAGATACAACGCATTGGTAACAAATTATACCTAAATATGGCACGACTTGTAGTTTCAAAGACTCATAGAAAGACACATAATTAAACCCTAGAATGATATGATTTATGTTGTTTTCCCAATTTTAAAAAGGAAACTTATATAAATATATTATATTAAAAAAATATTTACCATTTATAGTAATAATATTTTTTTTCATTTTATCACTTTTAATACATTTATAATACAGTTTTAATACATATTACAAAGAACAATTTATTATTCACATATAATACAAGTTTTATTGATGGATACTATATTTATCACACAAGTAATTTCTATTTCTACTATATAGAAAAGCCATGGACGACCACTGCAGTAAAAATTGTACAAGAAGCTATTTCAATTGCACTTTAAAGTGTTGTACACGTGTCAATTGAAGTCTGATTGGTAATTCTAGAATTATCTTCCCATTATCTTTATTCTAGAAATTGCCTAAAATTATCTCTTTGTTCCTATTTATCTATTTGTTTTAGAGTTAATATCTTAAAAGGTCACTTAACTATAGAAAATTATCTAGAAAAGTCATTGAACTATGTTCTGTATCAATAAAATCACTCAACTTAGGGTTTTTATCTTCAAAAATCACTCAACTATATTAATCATTAAAATAAATTTGATATGACAAAATAAATTATATTCCAACTGATGAAGCTTCAAATGACTGAGATTATTACCTGGATACGTGAAATGATAATCACCAAAACTTAAATTTGGCATATCAGTCTCTGCCTATATTTAGACTTTTTTTTTATATATAGGAAATATCTCATAGAAATTCTATAGATGCTAAGATTAGGCAGATATTGTCAATTAGAGCGAGTTACATTAGACTTGACAAATTCCTAAGTATCTAATTATGTCTGTTTCGCAACATATTTATTGCATTGTGCCAGATCTTATTGTGACAAGGAGGAATAATTTATTTATTTTGAAAGTTAAGATTTTGGGAATACTAAAACCAAACACAACGTTTATGATGCTTATGGTAAGAGGCTTGCAGTTTTATATTATATTAAATGATAAATGTGTGATTAATATAGACATAGATAGAATGACAATATATGTTGACGATTCTTATTTGTATTGAGTTTTAGATTACTCATATATAGTACCGGAAAAGTTCAAATGTCATCATTGTTGATACTCAATTTTCACCCTCCACGATATTAATTAATTATTAAGTATTTTTAATTTCAAGTAATTAGCTTTATAAAATTCAAAAATATTTTCTAGCCAAGTTTGTCATTTTTATATTAAATAAGCGATGTATATATTTCATAATATATAGATTTATATTAGGGAAAATTGTATATAATAGCAAACTATTAATTCAAATTAAATGTTATAATCATAGTTTGATTTAGTTGTATCCCATAGCAAACTGTTGCTATTTCGCCTCTCTCCTGGTGAATCTCGCTCACCTCTCTCGCTTTTATACAAACGCAAATGTATAAAATGCGTTTGTATTTGTATAAAGCGAGAGAAAATTGTATATACTTGCATATATTTTCGTCCTATACACTTATGATTATACAAATACGATCTTCCCCTGCCCAGTTTTCTTTTGTCTTTCTCTTTTGAATCGCTTTATACAAACACATATTATACAATTGATCTTTTGTATATGTATACCAAAACATAAACAGATTATGTTTCTATTTGTATAAAGCGAGAGAAAATTGTATATATACATATATTTTCGTTCCCCTCTCCCAGATCTCGCTCGTCATCCTCCCAGACCTAGTTCGCCACTCTCACTCGCCTCTCTCGCTTTATACAAACACAAATGTATA